GTAGTAGTATATATATATATATATATATATATATATATATATATATATAAATGTAGTACAAATATAGTATATATATAAAGGAAAACGTTTATAGAAGGTTGCAACCTTAAAATGTAGAATTACAAATGCACCTAAAAAATCCATTGGATTATGTTGTTTTAATGTTGTAAAACCCTTTAATTGAGCATCTCGACATCAAGATGTATGAATATATTTATATATTTATCAAAGTTTGGAGTTCGAGCAACCAAAGTAAGTGCATTTTTTAGATTGCTTGTTTTATTTTGAGATGTCTTCTTCAGGAGTTAGTAGAAGTGGTGATCCGGGTTGAAAATATGGATACAACCCGAATCCAAATGACAAAAATTGCGTTTGATGCAATTTTTATGAAAAAGATACAAAAGGAGGTATAAACCGGTTTAAGAAATATCTTGCCGGTATTAATGGGGATGTTACCCCTTGTAAAAATGTTTATGAAGCTATCAGAGTGGAGATTAAACAATTTATAAGTTATGTAAAATAAAAACAAGAACAAAATCCTTGTCGTAAATCTATTTCTATTTTTGCTACTTCTAGAAGAAGTGATCCGGGTTGGAAGTATGGATACAACCCAAAACCAAATGGTAAAAATTGTATAAGGTGTAATTTTTGTGTAAAAGTTACCAATGGGGGTATTAGCCGATTCAAAACACACCTTGTTAGTGTTAGAGGTAATGTTGCATCTTGTACAAAGGTTCTTGAAGCAGTTCGGGATGAGATTAGATATTTTCTAGAATTTTGAAGAACCAGAAAAGGATTAAAATAAGCCTTGTTCTATGGAAGTATCTTGTCCCGGTTCTAGTCGGAGTGGTGATCTGGGTTGGAAGTATGATTATATCCCGAATCCAAGTGATAAAAATCGTGTTAAGTGTAATTATTGTGGAAAAGATACTAATGGGGGCCTTTATCGGTTTAAAAAGCACCTTGCCGGTATTAAGGGGGATGTTGCCCCGTGTAAAAATGTTCTTGAGGCTACCAAGGAGAAAATTATACAATATTTGAGTTCAGAGAAACACAAAGAGAAAGGTAGAACAGCCAAATCTCCTAGGACCTCATCTGCACAGACTGCACATTCTAGTAAGAGGAAGGTAGAAGAAGAGAAGCGGGAAGAGGCAGATTCAAAAGAAATAGAGGAGGACGAGTATTATATTGAAGAGGGAGATGACTCTGATAATGATGGCCTCGAATTTGATGATGATGATGATGACGATGACTGAAGACTTGTCTCTTGGTGCTGAGTGTTGAGTATTGAGTCTGTTGACTGTTGTGTTGAGTCATGAGTGTTTACTTTTGTTAGACTGTATATTTTCTAAATTTCTATATGTTTCTGTTATGTTGAGTGTTGACTTTTATATCCTACCCTTGTATGGTTTTACAGTTTACTGTTTTAACATTATGGATTATCAAAATTCTCTTCTCGACGTCTATCTTTTTTTTTTCAACTTGAAATATGGTATATTGGTAATTTGGTATGTTTTTTACTTTTTTTCAACTGGGTAGCAGCCCAGGTTTTGGGTGTTCGCCTAGGCGGCTGCCTAGGTGCTGGGCGGCCTGGACCACCAAGGCCGCCTAGGACTCGCCTAACGCTTTTTGATACACTGGTACGGATAAATGCTCCAAACCATAGGGATCTTTTAACTTTCCGATTCTCGTGCTTCTGATCTCTATCCTGCTCACCGATTAAACAAACACTTTTTAGAGTATCTTTAGAGGATCTTTTCATTAACTTTTTATTTTGAGATTGTTCATCAGGATCCAAATAGTGTATGTTTAAAATCTGGGGTCAAACAAATGCCCTTAACATGTTTTTGATGGTCTGTTTCATTACATTACTATATGATTTACTTTTTGAAGGCCTAGATTGATCATTTGTTAAATAGATGGTGTGTGTTTGTTGAATTGGTAGAGTCATTTTCTCCCCTTACGTTGTGGGATTTAGTGTTTTATTTTTAGTTTTTTATAGTCACCTTGATGAGATGAGCATGTGTGCAAAATATGGGGTCTAACAATCCGCCCTAGCTCAAACATGCTTATGCTACAGTGAAAGCTTGTTGGCTTAAAGAATAAGTTTCTTATGTGGAAAAGATTATATAAGCCAACAAGCTTATGTTTTAATATAAGCCTTTTCGGTAAATACATAGCTAGAGGGATCTGCTTATGCTACAATATAAGCTTTATGTGATCGTTGTATAGCAATGAAATTGAAGGGGAAGTTCTATAGGACTGTTGCATGATCAGTCATGCTTTATAGGACAAAATGTTTGGCGGACAAGAAATAACATATTAATAAGATGAATGTAACTGAGATGAAGATGTTGAGATGGATGAGTGGCAAGATAATAAATGATAGAATTCAGAATGAATATATTCAAGAGAACTTAGATGTGGCTTCAATAGGTGATAAGATGAGAGAAAATAGGCTTAGGTGGGCTAGATACGTGCAGTGTAGACCTAATACAGCACCAGTTAGGAGATGCAATTTGGTTCAAGTAGAAGATTCTAAAAGGGCAAGGGGAAGGCCCAAAAGGATATAGATGAAAGTAGTGAGAAACAATATGGTGACTTATAGTTTTATTGAGGATATGACTCTTGATAAAGCATAATGACGAAACAGGATTCGTATAGCCAGCCCTAAATTGTTGGGATAATGCTCAGATGATGATGATGGTTGCATAGCCTGAGGGATTTCTTTTGAGCTCAAACTTCATACATCTTTAATGAAAAAAATGAACAACGAGTTCTTGAAGGCCCAGATCGATCATCCATCGAATGAATGGCTATGTTCATTGAAGACGAGGGACTCATTTTCCCCCTTTTTTTGTGAATTCTTTTTTTTTTTTAGATCTCTTCAATAAGATGAACGTGTGTGAAAAATTTGGGTTGCAATTGAAACCCTCTTGTTCGAAGTAACTTATGCTACATTTTGAGCCCATGTGCTAATATAACTTTATATGTATATATACACACACACTGATAAATGAACTAGGTCAAGTTGATTTGGACAATCATGGCCTAACATCTCTTCTTGATGCCTTTGCCTTCAGAAAGTTGATTTCTCAATAGCATGATGCATGAACCTGTGGGAATATTTCCAAGACACTGTCATTCAACTTTTAAAGTGGAAAATGCGTTTGAAGTTTGCCAAACCATGGAGAAAGACAGCGTTTTCTCATTATATTGACAGATCAGAATCTTTCATTGTCTAACTCCTTTCATTATCAATTTTGACATAGGAGCATCTCTACAAAGACAAGGAAAGTATCGGGAAGCCATCAAGTATCACTCCATGGTACTGGCCATTTCAGAGAGAGAAGGAGAGGTCTCAGGCAACACTGAAGCCTATGGGGCAATAGCTGACTGTTATACTGAACTCGGTGATCTGGAAAAAGCTGCAAAATTCTATGACAAGTACATAGCTAGGTTAGAAACAGACTGACAGCAGTTTCTGAAGATTCCTATTAATCATTTTCTCTTTTTTAAGGCTTTGGATTTGTGCTGGAGACTTCACTGATAGTCAATCTCAGCAACCATTTAAAGTAGAGTTCCCTTTTTGGGTTACCCCAATTTTCAAATTTCAACCATTGTAGCGTTTCACATATATGCATTTTTTAAGGAAGCTTGTTTGTGCCTCTTGGAAACAACTATTTTGCACTTGTATCATTTGCTCTATCTTTTTATTTCTTCATTTATGTTTTCTCCTTCTGCATATCACATTTTTAGTCTCTATTTTGTTAGCCTCTTTTTTGTGGTTTCTGTTTTCATTAAGGTTTTTGTTCTTATTATATTTTTCTTTCTTGACTTTGTTTATTGGTTAATATTTTTGTGGGTAAGCCCCTCGGTCGCTATTACCTAAAGCAAATTTATGAAACAAGGAAACGAAAGTAGATACCCTATTGTATACAACTGGATCTCTACAAAGTCTGTTGTTTGCAATTTTTTATTTTTGCCTTCTCCCAATTTTTTTGAAGTCTAGAACCGATCCCTTTTTGGCATAACCTGGAAGTTTGGAGACTCAATTTTAATCTGAGGGTTGTTTGTAAACTCCAGGTTTGTATCGTCAGAAGCTTCTCTTCTGCACTTTTTGGCTTAACTGTCTACTATATTCTTCTATATATATTATCTCAAATCTTTTCATATCAGTTGGAAACCAATTTTTCAAAATTCTTTCCTTTTCTTGTACCATTGTTTCGTATTTCACTTATACTAGTGATACGTACGTGTGCTGCACATGTATTAAATATTAGCCACTAAAATAAATTTTGAATTTTGAAGTAGCATATTCAATTATAGAAAGGTACTGGGAGAGAATTTTTTGGATCCCTCTTCACATAAGGGCTTCTATTAGGTAGTAACTTTTTTATATTTCAATTATATTATCCTATATCCTACTTTAGAAGTATTATTAATTATATTAGTAAATTTGTTATTTACTTGTAAGTATTATTCTAGACAATTAGAAACAATAAAATACAAAAACATATCATATAAATTTCAAAAAACGATTATAATTCTATTTGACTTGTATTATGAGATAATTATTTTTCAAAAAATAATTTTAACTACATTGTTTACATCTTTAATTTTCATTTACGGTTAATTACTATCATGTTTCCCTTTTTAAAAATAAAATAAATTTTTACGTATATTAGAAAATATATTATTTACTTCTAAGTAGGTATTATTTTAAAAATTGGATAAACTGAAAATTCAAAAAAGAAAATATAGAAGGAATTATCTTTTATTTTTTAAATATTTTTGGTTAAGTACTTTTGTGTTTTATCTTTTATTTTCCTTTTTTTTTTTATTATTATACTATTTTTCTAAAATAATATTAGCAAACAAATTATTTACTTATAAGTAAATATTAGTCTAAAAAATTAAAACTATTGCAATAAACAACTCATGATAATTAGATATCTATTGCAATTTAAACTAATTGGTATGTATGCCAAAAAGAATCAAAAGATATAAGGAAAACGTTCATATGAAGTTGCAACCTTATAATGTAGAACCATAGATGTACCTCAAAAATCCATCGGAAAAAGTTGTTTTAGTGTTGAAAAACCCTCTAATTCATCATCTCAACATTGAGATATATGATTATGGAAAAAAAAAAAGGATTTGGAGTCCCATAAATAGTGCATCTTACAACACATTATCTACACTGTCCATTTTCAAGATTTTCATATGTTTATGGATTTACTTAATTTTAACTACTTTTGGAGTTTAAATTTTTATAATTAG